AAGGTTTTTTTGTTCTTTTATGTTTATGAGTGAATGGATTTTTGCTTAACGTAGCCAGCTATTGGCAGCAGGACCCACATGTACGCAATATCACACGCTGTATAGCTCGCCCAAACGCCTTTTTCTGATCTCAATCCTGTCCAGCCCCCTTTTTAACAATTTTCTAAAGCCTTTTGCACTTTGGAAATACCGACTCACGCAGTTTCTCCACCTTCACTATTTTCCATCTTATCTTCCATTTTCGTCATAATCTGGATTACCCAAAATTACCGTGAAGTGTGCACTTAATTCACATGTGAGTGTGGCCTGGTCTTAATGCCATACGATGACTGGCGTTCTATGCGACAAGAGGATACCACAGAAATCAAAAATTAATGGTCAAAAACCTATAGGACTGTCACACGACCACTCGCGGTTTAGGATGCAGAGTGCTGGCCTGTAGCTAGAGAACTTGAAGCATGTCTCGGTTAAAAGAAAACGAAAAAGCTGCGATGGACGACTGGTACCGCGTGTTTGGACTTATCGCATCGCTGCAATGAGGGAACGTTTTGGAGTTATCCTATTACTGATAGAATACTCGAACCTCGTCATCGTCGGTACGGTCATGTGCTAGGTGTGGCCAAAAACAGTGTCTGTAAGATTGGTCTCAGTCCGTGAAACGATCTCGGAGAAGACCAAGCAGCGCTTCTTTGACAGCTTGCATGAAGACTCGAACTTAATTGGACTTCATCTCGACCAGCACTCAATCGGGAAAAGCGGCACAACACAATAGAGAGCCTGACGCCCCCAATAAATGGGACAAACGCTAACAAAGAAGAGGAAGAAAGTTGTCGTTCTGAATAGGCTATCCATTTGCACCCCTACCCAACCCATTTTGACCACGACTCCCTCGTCTGTCGTTTACTAGGCCCACTCATGTCCAGCATTTTGAATTGCTACAACGAACCAAAAAACACTGATAAGCGTCAAGGAACATGTGCTCTGCTATCTGTGCTGCATCGTCACACTCCCTTCATGTGATGAGATTGCTCTTGAATGCCAATAATGAGCACTGGTGACATTGATGAGCAAGTCATTGATAGGTATCGTTTTTGCCCTGTTTTGATACATTCATATTGAACGCATACAGCATGTCATAACGAGCGCATGACTCTTGCTCACCTGCCTTCCTATTACCCAAGGTAAACCTCATCGCTACACGTCATAAATGCCGTTTACTTGACACACAGATAAACGTTTTTTGATACACTTTGAAAATGATTGGAATAATCCCATAAACTGTCTGAAAGGAGTTTCGGCGAGGCACTGTCAGTTGATGCAGTCTGAGCCTTTTATAGCCTGGCAGTGGCGGATGACTCATTGGGTATTCTGCTCCTGCAGATCTTCATTGATCGAAGAAACCATTACCACGATGTTTTTTTGGAAGAATGCACTCATGTGGATGAAAATGTGCATCACAGACTACAGAATAAGAGTATCAAACATAGGAATTCCAAAAACCCATGGAGCTCAGAAATTAGCTAACGCCATTCAAGACTCTTTGCGGGTGAAGTGCGTGATCGATTTTCCATCGCATCTTGCACTGCTATCAATACCCCTTGCTCTATATTTGAATCTCCCTATGAATTAAAATTGGCAGAATTTCAGCCACGTAGCCACTGGACCATGTGTCACGCCATGATCCAAATGATATTTTTGATGACAAGGGCACTGGAGTGATTAATGGCTGTACAGTAAGATGTTATCATCGTCGCTATGTTCAGTTTCGCTTTCAAAATAACAGTTTCTTCAAACAAGTATTGGCTAAGGCCCTCCAGTTCAATTACTCATTCAGGCATTACTTATTGTTAGGCGAAAACATTACACGCGTTTCTCAATTTGCGCGTTCATAGGTATTACTGCTGTGAACAGATATAATTATTTTCTTTTGCTTTGGTGGAGAGACAAAGTCAATACAAAAGAAAGACCTGGGGCAGATAATTCGATTTCAGCAGAGCTTCTACGCAAATTTCCTATTTCTTGCTAAAACA